TTTAGTCATTAGTGGGTATGATTCACAAATCACTTTTTGGTTTGGATCTTTAAAGAATTAACATTTCTGTTTAGAATTTTTGATTTGAAAATGGTGACTGTTATTGGGGAATTAAAAAGGAAGACATTTTTGTGCCAAAGTAATGTGAACAACATAAATTTAGATCCAAATATAAATGTATATCAAAGAAAATTATATTAATTGAAAAATACATATTCTGTATTAGTTGAATTGAAAGCCATTTTGGTTAAAGAGAAAAGACTGAATTTTAACTAGGTGTGGTGGCATGCACCTGTAATCCCAGCTGCTCTGAGACCTGAGGGAGAAGGGTCACTTGAGCCCTTGGGTAGGAAGCCAGCCTGGGCAACACGTGAGGCCTTGCTTCCAAAGCAAAAGGGAAGGGGAGGGAGGAAAGAGAAGCGGAGGGAGTTTAGCAAACAGTTTGTTGTTCATTAAGTGCAGGAAGGCATTTAGACTACCTGAGAAAAGAACAAACTGGTAGCAGTTTTGGAATAATGATCTTTAGGTCTTTTAAAATTTCGTTAGTGATGTTTTGTCTTTTTCAGAGTATATGTTTTATACTTCTTTATTAATTATTTTCTGAGTAGTTAATTCTTTTTGGTGTTGCTGTAATGGATTTATTTTCTTTAACTTCATTTTTCAGATTGCTCTTTGCAGTTAGAAATGCAGTTGATATTTGTATATTGCATCTTGCTGAATTCATTCTAATTTTTTAATATCTAAGAGCATGTCTGAGAAAAGAGTTAGATTTGCTTCTTTCTTTTGAATTTGGATGCATTTTATTTCATTTTCTTGCCTTATTGCTCTGGGAACCTCTTATAATAGAAGGGATGAGAGCAAACATCCTGTCTTTGACCTCATTTGAGAAGAAAGGCATCCTGTCTTTATGTATTTTAGTTGGGGGCTTTTCCTAGAGAAACCTCTGTCAAGTTGAGGAAGTTGCTTTCTGTTACTAGTTTGTCTTTATCATGAAAGGGTGTCAGATTTTGTCAAGTGACTTTTGTGTATTTGACGGGATGATCAGGTGGTAGTTTAGCAGTCTTTTGTTTGAAGAAAACCCCAGTTCACCCAGACTAGGGTACGTCAATTGTCTCACTTAGCAGAAAAGTCCAGGGTATCTTACCTTCAGGCATGACATGCTCTGATTGAGGGACTCAGGGGCTGTCATCCAGATTTGCCATTTTCTTCCTCTGTACCTTTATTGTGATAGCCATGCTTATGTCCCCTGTGATGACAGAATGGCTGCGACAAGCACCAGGCAGTCTCTAGTTCCCGCTGACTTTCCCCAGTCCCAGCAGAAGTCCTAAAATTACCTCAGGCTGAACCACTTGCCCATTCTGGAACTATCACTAAGGACAGGGTATGTGAAGGCCCAATTAGGCCTGACTCACATGCCCACCCCAAAGCTGGTTGGCCCTACCCAAATTACATGAATGAAGTATGGAGAAAGGGGTTTATGCTGAATTACCAAAAATAAATGTCAAATATGCTTTCTATAGTAAAATAATCCTGGGTTATACAAAGTATGTGAAACTGGCATTTAAATATTTTCCTCCCTTTAGGCCAACTCTGGCAATGGTAGCTGACAAGAAATAAAACCTTTTGCTCGTTGAAGTGTGGTTAGCTGAGTGCACACCCCATCTCATAGAGGATAGCAAAAAGGAGGTGGGGGGCTGATTAGAGGAAGATGAGTGGAATGCCCTTCTAAGAGAGCAGGACTGGGACAGACCCACAGTTTTGCTGTGTTGAACATTTTATCACTTCCAAGGTAACTCTAGATTAATTTAAATCAGTAAGTACATCAGTGACCTCTTTATCATTTATGCCTTTTTCTCCTATATCATTTCTTAGCTGTGTCTTACTTCCTCAGCATGGACATCACACAAGAGCAGTGTGTCCTAGTGCTGATCTAGACTCTTTCTGGATTCTAATGGGAGTGGGAATTCTGTGGTCTCCTAACATTTGAAACTCCGGGCACTTTATGCTTATGAGAAAAGCTGTTTTCTATTAGCACGTCCGTTAGCATATCTTAATTGTACAAAGCAATGGGTCTCATATCATTTTCATATATGTATAAACTAAATAAAAAAGTGAAAGTTTTTCTTGTCAAAGTTTCTGTAGTTCCAAGTTACAGAATAAACTAGTGACATCTTGAACTTCCCCTTGTGTAGTTGTAACTTCCCCTAGATGAATACAGAGCTGGTTATAAGGAAGGTATTGTTTCAGTTGCTATTATAATTTACTAGCTACCTTCAAAACTTCCTGCAGCTGTGCTTTGTGGGGGAAGGGAGACTGTTGAACATTTTTCAGGTTCCTATAAGATAAAAGTAGTTCAATACACTTTTTCAATTTTAAGAATTTTTTTTCACATTTCAATAACTCCATACTCTGGAAACATCTTATAATCAGTGTCATCTCATTGTTTAACTTGTGTTACATAAAATTGATGTGATGGCTTATTTTATGTGTCAATTTGACTGGGCCACAGGGTGCTACATTGGATCTGGAATATCCCTCAAAAGCTCATGTGTTTTAAGGTCTGGTCCTCAATGACTTTGGCAGGTGGTGGAAACTTTGAGAGAAGGGGTCTAGTGGGAGGAAGTTAGGTTATTGGGATGCTGGCCCCTTCCTGTCCTGGCTGCCATAAGGTAAACATTTTTGCACTACCACAAGCTCCCCACTGTGAGGTACTGCCTCAGCATAGATCCAAAGGCCACATACCCATGGACTAAAACCTCTAAAACTATAAGCCAAAACAAACCTTTCCTCCTTGTAAGTTGATTTGTCTCAGGTATTTGTTATAGTAATGGAAAGTCAATGAACACAAGTATCCAAACATTTGGTAAAGCATTATTCCAGATGGCTTTTTGAGGGTGTTTCTAGGTGAGAGTAACATTTGAATCAGTACACCAGGTATGTAGATTGCACTTAAATAAATGTTCCTGGGCCTCATCATGTCAGTTGAGGACTAGAATAGAACAGAAAGGCTGAATAAGGGACCTCCTTCTGCCCAACTACCTTCAACTGGGACATTGGCCTTCATTGAAACTCACCATTGACTCTTTTGGCTCTAGTTTACTGATTACAGGTTTTTTGGGGTTTTTTTGTTTTTTGGCAGTACTAGGATTTGAACTTAGTACCTCATACTTGCAAGGTAGGCGCTCTACCACTTGAGCCACTCCACCAGATCTGTTTCGTATTGTGTTTGTTTGTTTGTTTGTTTTTGAGATAGGGCCTTTGAACTATTTACGTAGGCTGGCTTCAAACCACAATCTTCCTGATCTCTGCCTGCTGGGTAGCTAAGATTATAGGCATGAGCCACCAGCGCCTGGCCTGACTACAGATCTTACTGAGATTCTAAGAAATTGATTCTTCCAACTCATTGAGGGAAGGTGGCTTAAATGATGATATGAATAATCAGAATCTCTTGCAAAGAACTAAAAACATCATCAATAATGTCTGATTCCAGGAGAGCTGATCCTCTGTTCAATAAGAATTCTAGTCTGATAATTACTGGGTTTGCCAAGTTGCAGTGTTAGTTGCAAAAATGGTGGCCTTCAAGTTTGAGTCTCTGTAGAATTTGAAGCCAAGGTCAGGAAGTATCTTCTGAAATAAAAATTTCTAAGTTCATCTCAAGAAGTTTGCCAGCCAAGAGTTGAGTTGGAGATAAGACATAGAGATCCTAACATTCAATAAGGGATCTGGGTCCCTGGGAAGAATCTTTGATATAAAATGTAATAAGAGCTATAGTCTTTGAAAAGATTACTTTGGTGAGAAAAGGTGTATGTTAGGGTATTTTGAAAGTGAATGTTGAGAATTAGTTTACTCACTTTTGTTTAAGGAAGTGAGAGACATTGTACCTGGCAGAGCTGAGTATTCTTATTCCTAGAAAAACAGTCCCTGATGAAGTAAATGATGAAAGAAACATTTTGCCTGCCCACCTACTCCTTCACTTAGATTTGGTGCTGACCATTCAAGCCTTCTGATTACAAACAGAGTTTCTCTATATCATCATCTTAGGCTGGGGTGCGTCAGGCAATACAGTCATTTTTCTGTGTAACATAACAAAGGGACATCCGTTGGACATCAGTTGGTATCTTAACCATGTGGTTTGTGTGAAACCATCCCCAAGGGCCCATCAGATGTCTTCCTGATCAGTCCTGGGACTCTGCCCAAAGGCCAACACTGACTGACCTTTTCTCTGGCTGCCTCAGCTACAGCAGAGTCCCTTGAGAGAAATGTAGCCCCAAAGGAGGGCATTTCAGAGAGAGGGAAAAAAACATCCGACAGAGAAGACCTGACAGGTGTATGCAGAGATAGTTAGGGATGACATTTTATGAAGAAGATCCAGCTCAAAACTCAGCAGTTAAGTTTGGTTTGACTGAAATGTGGGGCATGTGAGAGGACTAGATAAGATGTCTTTCTACTCTATGAGGTTTGCTCCTGAAGTTCTCCAGTATTGAAGTGATTTGGTACTAGTGGTCAGCACACTGCATAACCATTGTTGAAAGGGCATTATAATCCTTGTTGCATCATTTATAAGTTGCTGAAGTTTTTCCTTAATCAGAACAAAGGAGCATAAGTGTGTGATAGCAATAATGATCAGGACACAATAGTCATTTGTCTTAGAAAAGTTAAAAAGGACAGATTATTAGTACTATTTTAGGGGAGAAAAATCTTGTGTAAGTTGTATTAAATAGAGAATTGTCCCTTTGTTATTGAGCCTTTCAGACCTCTTCTGTACCTTATGTGATGAAAAATATATGCTTCTGGGGGTGTTTGCTTTTCATTTTACAAAAATGGGATCAAACATACAGCCATTTTGCAACTTACTCTCTTAGAATTCCCTTTGAATTTCCCTTGCAATGAAAAGCTCTTTGTAACTGGGTGCTGGTGTCCTATGATAGAGTCTGCTTCTGAGTCCTCATAGACACATTAGCCAATAATAATTACTAAGGTGTATTTGTTTCTGTTTTCAGGTTGGCAACCTCGATGGTTCCTTCTCTGTGGGGGAATATTATCCTATTACGATTCTCCTGAAGATGCCTGGAAAGGTTGCAAAGGGAGCATTCAGATGGCCGTCTGTGAAATTCAAGGTGAGAAACCAACCAATTTGCAGGTCTTATTTATTTATTTACTTATTTTTCTGTCTCTGAAAAAAGCAAAAAAGCACTGGCCCCCATGTGATTTTTCTCTGCAGTTCCCATAGTACAGACCAAGATACATAGTGCCATGTCATTGCAAGAAAGCCTTGCAAAAAAAAACTGCAGCCAACTTTTACAAAGAGATTGGTTAAGAAATGGTCCAAATAAATGACAACAATGTGCTTTACCATTCAGCTAGTGCTTGTTCCTTAGTCATCGGCTCACTGGGACCAGTGGCTATTTGCAAAGCTTTTGTATTTATAGTATAGTATCAAACACGTCTGTGTTTAAATCAGGTCTTCCCACCCCTCTTCTCTCTCTCTCTCATGCATCACAAATGCATGCACAAGTATGCCTGCCTATCCCCTCTACCTCCACCCCACCATTCAAAACAAAACCCTAACAGACCTACACTTGGTTTTGTTATCTTGAAACATAATGAGAAGATGTGACTCAGAAGAAAAACAAATTGGATGGGAATTTGGGAGGGGACGAGGAGAATGATTTGCCTGTTTCTTTCTCTGAAGAGATCAGGGGAATTCTTACACTTTAAGTTTGACTTGTCAAGGGTAGTAGAATAAGAAAAATATCGTGCTCTTGAGTGCTTTCCAGAAAATCCAGGAGATAAAAACCAACAAAAAATATATACTCACTTGTTGGCATGTGTTTTGGTTCATTTTTTGTTGCTATAGCAAAATACCTGAGGCTGGGTGACATATAAAGGAAAGAGATTTAGTTAGCTAACAGTTTTGGAGGCTGAAAGTCTGAATAGTGTGGTGGTAGCTCTGGTGAGAGCCCTCTGGATGGAACACATTATGGTAAATGACATTATGGTGGGAGCTTATGACTAGGGGAGAGATCACACAATGAGACAAAAAAGAGACCAGTTTGTTCTTTTATAATAACCTCGCAAGTACTAACCAGAATCCCATGAGAACTACAGTAGTTCCCTCCCCAGGCAGTGCCCCCAGTGACCTCCCACTAAGCTCCATTGCTTAAAGGTCCTACCACCATATAACATCCACCACCCCAGGACCAGGTTCCAATAAATGAACCCTTGGGAGGTTCCAACTTTCTCTTTGAACTGAGGCACATACAAACCATGGTAGCATGCAAACCATTTTGGCCTCATAGCAGCATCCTTTATGCATAGACACATAGGCCAAAAGAGAGTGCCTCTCAGTTCTGATGAAAGATTAAATTGGGAGTTCCTTTTTGGGTCAAAGTTGTGATACCTTGGAGCCAGTTGTGAGGTTTTCCTTCTTGATCAACAGAGCTATCTAGGATAGGTAAACAGAACTTTGTACAAGCTAGAAGAGGTATTGAGGGCTGGCCTCCTCTTCTCTCTGAAAATAGCTGGTACCAGTTGAGCTCAAAAGTTGGATGGGGTAGAAGCCACCCAGACAAGGTAAGGTTCTTCTAAGTCTCTGACCTCCCTCTGCCTTGCTCCTAGTTCATTCTGTAGATAACACTCGCATGGACCTGATAATCCCTGGGGAACAGTATTTCTATCTGAAGGCCAGAAGTGTGGCTGAGAGACAGAGGTGGCTGGTGGCCCTGGGATCAGCCAAGGCTTGCCTGACAGACAGTAGGACCCAGAAGGAGAAAGGCAAGTATTGATTGTCCTCTGGTCTGAAAACCTTAGGAATCATTCACTGTTATCTCTGGGTTCTGTATCACTTAAATGCCTTTCATCTCAATAGAACTTGTACCATATTCCATATCCAATTCTACTTTCTTAGCATATGATGGTGGAAACAGTGCAGGCTTTGGAGCAAGATACACCTGGGTTCAAATGATGACTTTGTAGTTTATTAGCTGTGTAATTTTGCGAGAGGTCATTTCATTTTTCTGAGCCTCAGTCACCTCATCTTTGAAGAAGAGGTCATTGTACCTACCTTAAGGATTACTGTGAGGATTAGTGATGATGTAAACAATGTAGTACCTGGTTAGGCACCAAGTTCAGCAGAGCGTAACTGTGGTAAGGAAGCCTTGAGTCAGGGTGCTTTCTGTAGCAACACCCTGCTCGTCCTGCCTCTCCCTGACGTGGGATGAATTCTTAATTGCCAGGTTGCTGCTGCTTATGCTCATTAACTTGACATTAGGTCTCCTGAGAACCATGGCATGACTTTTTCTTTGGACTGGGGCAAGAGTGCTGGGCTCACTGCATGTCCTTGGTTGCTGCTGTCCCAACACCACAGGATTGTGTATACAACTGAAAAGTTTGGCTAGGAGTGGGGAGAGCATGCTCCAGGGAGCATTTCTTTCTCATGGTGGTAGCAGATGTTTCTAACTCTTAAGTAGACTCAGTAAAATGGCCTCTTGGTTGTTTTTGATGCTAAGTCAAAAACACATTCTTAAGACTATCTGATTTGACTCAGCAATGTACAGCGATGTGGGAATGTCAGCATTTTCATGGAAAAGGAACATTTTTCATGGAAAAATCTTAGTACTGAGGTGGGTACAGTGCCTGTGCTGATAGTGGCTGGGTGCCCTTAGCCTCAACAGGCAGCATGCTAAACCAGTCCTCAGCCTAGTGACAGCAGTGTTCTCAGTGTAGTTAGACATGACAAAACAGTTTCCTAGGTATAAGCAGAGCACTCTAAGACTCTGTCTTACAGAGAGGAAAGTCTGTGGCAGAACTGAGACCAAACTCTGAAGTCTTGACTCTCCTGCTAGTTCTGACAGAAGTGAGTCACACACAGTGTTGCTTCCTTTAAATACTGGTGATTATTCAATATGCTGTCTCAATAAATAATGTGTATTACTTCAGAAGACTGCTTTGCTTGCTCCTATATCTTTATCACTTCTGTAACCCATTCTATAAACCTCTGACTTTAGGCATAGCTTATATATTCCACTTTTATACAGTAAACTAAACAGGAAATTGGTTATTTATTCTGGTACTATATTACCATTATTTTGTTATTTAGAATTTGCTGAAAACACTGAAAACTTGAAAACTAAAATGTCAGAACTGAGACTCTACTGTGACCTCCTTGTTCAGCAAGTAGATAAAACAAAAGAAGTCACTGCTGCTGGTGTTGCTAATTCTGAGGTAAAGTATTATTTTGGTAATATTACTGATATTATACATAAAAAGTAGCACAAGACTGCTTACGATGGTGCTTACTCTATCTGACTGTCTTTTAGAAGTAATAAAATTCAGTGAAGAAATGTGTGCACTGCATGTGGAAGCATACCGTTTTCCTTCCTGGAATAAATTTAGGATTATTGATAATATTGGGGACTTTTAACTTTAGAACTGACATACTAAAGTATGTTTTCTCTCAGTTTATACCACTTTTTGAAAATTCAGTCTTTCTTGTCTTACAGAACATTTCTTCAGCTGTAGCAACTAATAAGTCAGCATAGTATGTGTCAATGGTGTAGGTCTGTCACTGGTGCCTGGCTTATCTAGCACTTTTGTTAAGACTGGAAGGTCTTTAATTCATCACAGTAAATACTGTGCTTTGAAATGGCTTGGTGCTTTCAGAGATGAAGTTTTCAGTCCTTCCATCAAGGATTACAGTTTTTTGCCTTGTTTTGGTTTTGAGACAGTGTCTCTAATATAGTCCAGGTTGGCCTAGACCTGGCAGTTCTCCTCCCTGTCTCCTGAGTACTGAGATTCCAGCTATGCACCACCATGCATGGTTAAGAATGGTGATTTTTTTTTTCTTTTTTCATCACACTATCACTGAAGAGGATAGTTTTTTAATGTGTACTAATAAAATTGTCATTAACTCACCCTAAACATAAGTTCAACTGTATATTGAAACCAGAAAGATTCTCTGCTCTGCTCTCAAAGAAGTTATAATCTGATGAGTGATATCTACAACATGAGGAATCTTCAGGTTATACTTAACGATTTTAATTTTTAGGTTGTAGTACACCTTGCTACAGGTGTGCTTTGAGGTCTTTCTAATAAAGGTGACTTAATCATTTTCATTTCAGTTCTCTTATTCATTCATTCATCAGCTGCCTATTATATATAAGACACTGCTGGTAGAGGAAGAAGGAAGGGAGCACTAAAACACATTTCGATACTGTCATTGCAAAGTTTATACTCTAGAGCAGCGATTGTCAATACAGAGCAGCTGTGTTCCCCAGAAGACATTTGTTAGTGTCTGAGGACATTTTTGATTGTCACAATTTAGGGAATGCTGGTATCTAGTGGGTATTAGCTAGGGATGCTGCTGAACATCTTAGAAAGTGCTTCTATTAAGTGCTGTGGGAAATTTCTAGTGGCAAATGTGGTCCACAACAGCATCACCTGGGAGCTTTATTAGAAACTCAAGTTTGAGGAGAAAATGAAGACCACTAAGATGTGATCGCCTCACTCTCTAGTCAAGAGTGTGGCCTCAGTTTCCAGAACAACTTATTGATACCAATATCTAGAACAAGAAAACTAAGTTGGAAGAAAAAAAATCTATTGGTGCTTAAAGGAATTCCAGTTGCTGAAACCTCGTGGACTCATCCATACTGAAAGCAAATGATGCATGATTCTTTGAAGTTCCATGCAAGCTTTGTGCCTAGCACCTGATGCAGTGCTGTCTTGATGTTGTGCAGTTGGAAGAAGTTGTGGCCTTTCTCTGAAGCAGTGGGTAAGTGTAAAGGATCAGGTTGAGGGCAAGGCTTATGCATGGTAAATAGATAAATTAGGTTAGCCCAGTTTTTTTTTTAACCTTTATCACTGATGAACATATTTATGCAAGCAAAAGGGTGGGTACCTTATTATTTGTGGATAAAAACTTGTAAGGACAAACAACATTGGGCTTTCTTCTTTTTTGGCAAGACAAAAGTCTTCCACTCTGGTTGTTTCATAGGAGGGAATTGATGTGGGAACTTTGCTAAAAACAACCTGCAATACTTTTCTGAAGACCTTGGAAGAATGCATGCAGATTGCAAATGCAGCTTTCACCTCTGAGCTGCTCTACCGCACTCCCCCAGGATCACCGCAGCTGGCTGTGCTCAAGTCCAGCAAGGTAAAAGGCCAGCTCAGTTTGACTTCTTTATTTACACTTTTATATCTTCTCTCAGTCCTCCATTTGTAGTCAGTTGCTTTTGGAAGTTTGACCACCTACACGAATCTCCAATGTAGCCTCTTTTCTTTGTGACCAAGGAATCTTACCTAGAATTGTGGCAGCTTCCTAACCAGTCTCTTTCAGTCTGACCTTCCAGCCGGCCCAAAGTATTCCTGTTAGTGCAGTATAAATTGGACCACTTTACCTAAACCTTGCAGTGGCTTCCCATAGCCAAACTTTCTTAGCCCCTTCCCACATCAGCATCCTATCTCCCTGAGGTTACCTGGCTTAAACTTAAAACTGCCTATCGTTTTACCCTTTCTTCTTCATTTCCCAAAGCCAAGAAAGTCCCTCTAGCTCCCTTTCCAAGTTGTCTCCCATTTTCCATTTATCTTCTTCCCTACATCCATAAGTTGGCCTAAGAGCTTCTCTTCTCATATATCCCCCTGTGTTAGCGCTACTCTAGAAGTTAGCTTAAAGGCAGAAACTCTCTACAGTGTCTACTTTCACATCTCTACCATGTGATACAACAGTGCACGGTAATTTGCTATCCATTAACACTTAATGAGCATAACTTAAATCACACAGCCAGTTGCTAAGAATTTGGCTATGATAATTAGGTTTTCAAAAGGCCATCTTCCTTTTCTTTAGAAATTTGGGTATGCTGATTAGGTTTAATGAGAAGGGCAAGTTGGGACCAATGACTCCATTTTGGTAAGACCTAAAATTGTTTCTCTTGAAATGGACAGTATATGCTATGACCATGTTTACCATTTTTGCATGTGATAGTATTCTAAGTAATGCTCTGTTGGAAGTTTAACATGCAAACTTTCATTTTTTTTTTTTTTGCTGCTTTTATAGATGAAACATCCTGTCGTACCCGTTCATAATTCACTGGAAAGGTATAGTGACATTTTTGGTTTTTTTCTTCTTTCTAAAAATAAAATAAACAGTATTGTTATTCTTTATTTGAAAAGAAGGAATGATACTGTTGTTAGATAGTGGTTCTCCTCATGGCTTTAGATAACAGCAGAAGGAAACAACATCTGAATTTTCCTCTTTGGGATGAGCCTAAAGCAATATGACCTTTGATCCCACACTAGTGGGAAAATGGGGACATTTACCCTAGGATATGGATCCCACTCATCACAGCGAATCACTTAATCTCTCTGGTGTTACTGCAGGTTCGGAGCTTCTCTTGTAGAAGAGCTCAGTATTAACGTGCTTTTGTCCAGAAAAGACACTAGTGCTACTGTGTTGTACTTAGAAATAAAAATCTCAAGTAGTTTTACAAGTTGAAAAAAATAACAATATCAAAATTTAAATTATCTCCATTCTTCTAATTACTTAGTCAGTTTAAAAATATATACTGGGCTGGACATGTAGCTTAGTGGTGGAGCACTTGCTTAGTGTTCTTTAGGCCCTGAGTTCAATCCCCAGCACTACCAAAGAAAAAAGAAAAAAAAAGTACCTGTCTATACATGTCATGTAGGTGTTCCCATGTACTGATGTAGTGCAGATCTTCATTCTTTCAAATTGTTACTTACTAGCTCATCCCTCTAACTACTGTTGTTTGCTTCTTTATTATAAGGATTGTTCCCTTGTTCCCAATTTGGTTGTTTCCAGTTTTCTCATTTTCTAAATACTTCTACTTTTTTTTTCTGTGGTGATCATAGAAATAGGAAGGTTTATTAAGGGAAAGAGTGAAAGCTCCAGTGGGAAGGATGGGCCCCAGAGACGTTGTCAGAGAAGTGGCGTGGTCTGAGGTTTGGGTTTTATTTGATGCACTTTTTATTAGTGTACGTTAATTGTACAAAGGGTTACACCATGGTGTTTCACGCATGCATATATTGGACATTGACCAGATTCACCCTCTCTATTGCTCTTTTTCCCTTTCCCCCCACTTTTCAACATTTTTCAGTAAGTTGCCTTGTGCTGCCTTCATACATAGACATAAGGCCAAACACTTCTACTAGGAACATCTTTGTGGACTTGAGATTTTGCCTATATGTATACCCACATTTTGAATTAATAGGTTGAAACACAGTTTTTTGAGAAAACAGCAAATGGTTTTCCTAGAGTTCATATGTAGCTTAGTCCCTTCCCCTTTATTTTTATTAGAGGAAAATACTTTTGTTTCAATTTGGCTAGGTATGATCACCTACATTAAAATACTTTGATTATTCCTTTAACAAATAAGATCAGCTATTTCACGTGAAGTGTGACAGGTCCCTCAGGCTGTGTTGTGGTCCTCTTGGGTGTTTGGCAGACTTCTGCTGCTAGGAGTGCTCTGCTGACCACAGCTAAGCAAACGTGAAAATGGCTAGTGGTTTTTAGAGGAAAGTCAAATAAGCTTTAAATGTTACACCTGGAGAAAGCCATTGGAAACCAAAGAACTGTCAATTACTATTTCCTGACACTGGTGGGGAGCAGGAAGATTGAGTCACCTCAGGGTAACGGCTCTTTGATTTCTCAGCTGCAGAAGTGACCTGCTTTTCTCCCAGGCAGATGCCTGCCTTGGTGTCTATACAGGCTGAAAGGCTTGACTTGGTTTAACAATTCTGTTTTTATCAGCAGTAAAAAGGATTTGTTTATCGTGAACCCTCCCTCCACCCCTTAGAATAACATCTACCTGGGCAACTGTGACCAAACCACTGCACTTTCTGGCTTTTTTTTTCTTTTTAAAAACATTTTAGGCAAATGGAATCGAACAGTTGTGAAAATGGATCTTTAAATATGGAAATAAATGGTGATGGAGAAGTCCTAATGAAAAACAAGAGTTCGTTGTACTTGAAATCTGCAGAGATAGACTGTGGCATATCAAGCAAAGAGAAAACAGAGGATAATACAACAGGTAAAAACAGAAAAACAGAAGTAAAGTCTGATGCAAACCACTGAACAGTAGAAAATTTGGGGGGTGTGGTTTTTACCTGTGACAGGTAAAACCTCAGTGAGACAGGTGCTGGAACACACAGTGTTGAGGAGGAAGTGACCTGCCTAGGGTTCTTGGCAGTGATATTCATGGGCTGCCTGGAGCAGTTTTAGAGGTGACAAGAACTTCACTGATCCTGCTTGCTATATCTCAAAGTCTTTGAACTTAAACTATGACATCTAGCTTCACCTGTGTAAGTTCACTTTTCCATCTGCCTGGTTTCTGGTAGGGACTCTGGGTGTCAGCATTTGCCAGCCATCCACCTTTCTCTGGCTAAGTTTCAGGTGAAAGTGCATAGCTGGGAATGCTGTCTTTCAGACTTGCTAACCCCATTGACGCTAATCATAAAACTCCTTCTTCAGATTGAAGATAACTCCAGTAGCACTTTTAGTAGTTAGTAGAATATGAAAATAAAATTTTAAAAAATTTCGTCATCTGTGATGAAATAAGAGACTCAATTTTTCCAGGTGACTCAGGAAAGAAAAAAAAATGTTAATCCTAAAAAATCTTAGCTGTTAACCTAAGAAAAGTAAAGTACACACTGAAGTCTTATCTCTTGATGAAGACAGGAGAATTTCTGTCGAGGCATACTGCTACACACTTGACTCAGTATTTCACCTGTAGGAATTTGTCTTCAGGCAACAGGCAGGTTCAAGGAAACTGTCTGGGACAGGGATTTCTTCATGGCATTACAAACACTTTTTGTTATTTGCGGTAATTATGTTTCATAAAGTCACCCAAACCCTGAATTAGCAGATAATGCTGTTGCTTCTAGGGGAAATACATACAAACCTGTGGTCAAAACATTTTTTGGGAGCAGTACTGGAGTTTGAACTCAGGGCCTTGCGCTTGCCAGGAAAGCACTCTACCACGAGAGCCTCACCCCAGCCTTTTTTCAAATAGAGTTTTTTATGCTTTTAGCCAGGGTTGGCCTCAGACCATAGCCCTTGTACCTTTGCTTCCAGTGTAACTGGAACTATAATCATTCACCACCACTACCAACTTATTTGTTGAGATAGGGTCTCACTACCTTTTTTGCTTCAGCTGGCCTCAACCTGATCCTTCCAATTGCTGCTTCCTGAATACCTGGGATTACAGGTGTGAACCACAACATGCAGTCTTGGTCACAACATTTTTGTTGACTAATGAATATATAACCTTGTTTTGTGTGTCTATTTCTATTTAAATGCATCTTATTAATATATATGATTGGTTCATTAATTGGACTCTTAGCCAGTAGCACTGTAGTTTGTGCCAGAATGGAAGTAATCTCACGCGCATATTTTGTCCATAAGACATCACAGCTTTCTCGTGCTTATGCACATTAGACAGCATTACCGTTCGGGGCCCCTTTCAAAAGCAGAATCAGCAACAGAATGCACAAGCATGCAGGAGAACATGGCACTACATGAGGGCGTTCGTCTGTGGGATGAGAACTAGAGCGAAGGCAGAGCATCCCTGCTCCGCCCAGCAGGAATGCATTTGTCAGCAACAGGCTTTCCACTACTCTGTGCAGGTCCAGGGTAGAAAAGTGCTGCAGATATTGGCTTTGAGGTTAAGAATAAATTTTAGCAAGTAGGCAAATTCACATATCAGAATAACTCATAATGAGGAATGTACTGTAACAGTAAAATTTTGGGAAGCACCTAAATGCCTCCACTTTGATGTGAGGCAACATTTCACAGTCACTGAAATCATGTTTGTGAAGAGTATTGAATGGCAGTGGCATTAATTGTGAGACACTGTTCCATGGAAGCAAAGGTACACACAGGTCTATTCTTTAACCCCAATTTTGTCTGCATGTAATTTTGGTAGGTGTATGTATTATGCATGCACTATTTCATGGATTTTTAATTGTGTACATTTTCTGTGCTTTAGACATTTTTACCAATGACTGGATACATTTTTACACTAAATGCATAACAGGTTAGTAATAGGTGCCTTCTCCTTTACAATCCTAGGTGAGGGAATGAAGGAAGATGGGGAGGATCCTGACAATGATTTGGCTCCGCCTAGATCAGACTCCTCAAGTTGCCGGCCAGAATCCCTCTGGAAAGATGACAAAGAAATTATCCCAACTTTCTTTAGTACCATGAACACCAGGTACTGCAAACCCTCCAGAATCACTGGCGGTTGAATAATAGTTTTCCTTCTGGAAATGTGTCATAATGGTCCTTTCAGGTGATCATGTACTCTGAGAGAATATGATACACCAAGTATTGGCTTTACCATACCTGTCTGAATAGTGGATGAGAAGGAATTGGATCATGAGCAAACTGTGAACAAACTTTAGTTTGCTTGGGTGGATTATCTTCGGAAAATTATGTTAATGGGCTGTTTTATAATAGAGAAACAATCCATAGGGCATATCCATGAAATCAGGTCATGTGGTTTTCCCTACAGAAGAGCAGCTGTTTCTATGACTGTCTCCAAACCTCAGAAAGTGCTAATGCTATATTTTCCATCTTTTCCTTCTCCCTGTCACCAAATTGTGTAGTTTTAGTGACATTGAACTTGTGGAAGACAGTGGCATTCCCACAGAGGCATTCTTGGCATCATGTTATGCTGTGGTTCCAGTATTAGGTAAGAGCCGCCCTTGGCCATTGCCTTACTCCATTAGTCAGAATCTGTCCCAGGCAGTCGTTTTAAAGGAGAAATGTCCTGAATTGTGTCTGCAGTACCATGGCCTCCTTTGCTACCTCCTCACATTACCAGCCACATACAGCCATGACCCTGTGTGACTCAAACACAACCTCATTGTAATTACTAATTACTAATTACTAACCTCATTTCTAATTATGATTAAAAATTGAACTCAGCGCAGTACAGTGGAAGAAGGGGATTCTCCTTTCTAGAAAGCAAAAGTGAAAGTAAGTGAGGAGCAAAACTATTGGCACTATGAAAAAAGTTATTTTGCCATTTAAAGCAGTTTCTTCAAAGATAAAAAAGTATTATGTATATGTAAATTTATTTAAATTCAAATTTATTTAATGTAAAGTCAGTTATACCAGGGATTATTAACATGTTAAAGTTTGTTGTATAACCATTTAACTGTGCTTTTTTGTTTGGATGGTACTGGAGAGTGAACTACTGAGGGACTGAGATTTGCTAAGCAAACACTCTGCCGTTTGAGTCAGGACCCCAGTCCTTTTCAGTTTGTTTTTCAGATAAGGTCTTGAGCTTTTGCCCAACTGGCCTGTCCAACCGAGATCCTCCTACTCCACCTCCCTTATGCTTATTTTTTGTTTTTCTTTTTAAACTGAAGTATAACTTGCATGAAACTTAAGTGGAATAATTCAGTTTTGACATAGAATATTTTCATTACCCTAGAACATTCCCTATGCCAACCAGTCCCCAGTCCACTGCCCAGAGTTGAGGCAATCATTTTATGATTTTTGTCACCATCAGTTAGTTTTGCCAAGACTAAAACTTGATGTAAATTGAATCATATTGCATTTTCTTTTGCATCTGGCTTGTCTCAGAGTGTTGAGAGTCATATTTATGCACGTATCAGTAGTTCATTTCTTTTTACTGAAGAGTAGTACCCCATTAGGTGAATATGCCACAGTTTGTTACTTGTTCTTCTATTCTTGGACGTTGGTAGTTTCCGTTGTAAATGAAGTTGCTGTGAACATTTCTGTGTCTATGGGCACATGTTTTTGAGTACGTATCTAGGACCAGAATTGCTGGTGGTAAGCTTAACTTTATAATGCAATGCTGAACAGCTCACAGAGTGGCTGCACAGTTGTACACTTGCAAAAGCAGCAGGCATACGTGCGTGCTGGTGACTTCATGTGGTGATGATACCACCTCTGGTAGTATCAGTATTTTTGGCTTTGGCAGTTCCTCTGTGTGTATTTAGTGATCTCTCATTGAGGTTTCATTTGCATTTTACTAATGGCTGATAATGTTAGATACTTTCTCATCCAATTATTGACCATTGCAGTATCTTCCATGTGAAGAGTCTGCTCAGATGTGTAACTCATTTTTTAAAAGTTGAATTATTTTTCTTTTTTTTTTACTGAATTGTGAGAGTTTTTTATACATTCTGAATAAAATTCCATTGTAGACATACACATTGTGACTGTTTTTCCTCATGCTGTGGCTTACCTATTACTATTGCTTTCCTGTGCTAAAAATACTGTCTTTTGAAAAGCACTTTTAAATTTGGATGAAGTCCATCTTATTCTTTTGCAGTTAATGTTTTCAGAGTCCTAAAAAAAACTTTCCTTACCATAACCAAAGATCATAAACATATTTTCCTCTGTTTTCTTCTAGACTCTTAATTTTAATGTTTATTTCTGTAACCCATCTTGGAACTTTTATATATGGTATGAGGTAGAGGGCTGAGGTTCACTTTTGTTTCCTTATGATAATCTGCATATTCAAGAACCATTGTCAAAAAAACTAGTTTCTCCTTTTGTATTGACCGTTTCTCCTTTTGTACTGACAGTTCTCTCAAAACCACTTGCCCTTATAAAGAGGGTCCATCTCTGGACTCTTTTCAAGATTGTTTTGGCAATTCTAGGACCTTTGCTTATCTGTTTAAATGTCAGTGTTTCAACTTCTATTAAGAAGCCTCTGTTTTTTGCATTGTATTTGTAAACCAATTGGGGAAAATTAATGGCTTGCACAGCACTGAATCTTCCAATCCAAGAGTGTGACACACACACACACATCATCATCATCATTTTCTCTAAACAATGTTTTGTACAGTTTTATCTTTTATTAGGAATGAACTTTAGGATTTTAATGGTTTTGATGCTATTTTTAAAAAGTGCTTTATTTCATTTTCTAGTTGTTCATTGATAGCATGTAAACAAATTGATTTTTGTATACTGAGAGTTGGTTTTTATATCATTTTATAAAATTGCTTTTTCTGCAGCAATTGAAATCATGTAATTTATTATATAATGGACTGCATTGTTTGGATTCATTAATTCTTCTAGCTCACTATTCATTCCTACCATCTTGCTATTTATTTTCTATCTGTTTGTTGATCCTTTTTTATTCCTTTTCTGACTTTTAGCCAATGAATCAATGATTTTTTTAGTATGCTGTTTTATTTTCTCTTTTGGATTTTTAAAAAGCTACCTGACTCTACTTTTCTTTCTTTTAGATCAATAAGTATTTTTTTAGAGTTGCATTATCTTTTATCTTCTGGCTTTTCAGCTATATTCCTTTTTTAGGAAAAATTATATTTAGTAAACTTAAATAATTAAAATTTGCAAATTATATTTAGCAAAATTAAATTTAGTAAAAGTCTTTCTAACAGAACTATTCAGACCACATATGTTATTTTAAGTTTTCTAAAAGGTATATTAAAATACCAAAGCAAAAGTTAATCTTAATAATTTATAATATATGCAAAATATCATCTCAACATGTAGTAATGATATAAAAGAATCATTAATAAGATATTGTGCATTCTTTCTTTTGTGCTAAGTCTCTAAACAAACTTGGTGTGTATTTTAGTCTTTCAGTTCCTTTCATTTGCAAGTGCTGAATAGTCATGTCTGGAGCAGCCATATTTCACAGTGCAGTCCTAGGGATTTCAGACATGAACCTAAATGCATAGGATTATCTTTATCTTACCAACACTTAGGACCTCATTGTAGATATTCACCTCAGCAGAGTGTAATAAAAAAGGTGATAACGGTGTCTAGCTTTTGAAGTTTATGTTTCTGAAGTGATTTAGAAGCAAAAATGGAAGTTGTTGGGGAAAAGAGCTTTTAAATATATTGTTGCCATAAAAATCTCTTCCATTAAAAATAAACATATGTATTTAAAAGATTTGCTTTTTCAGAAGTATTTTTGATCCTTTCTTTCAGACAAACTTGGCCCTACAGTGTTTGCTCCTGTTAAAATGGATCTCGTAGGAAATATTAAGGTGAGTATTCTGGCTTGTCTCTGGAAATTTGTAATAAAGGGAAACGTTTGCAGTACTTTTGTGTTTGACAAGGAAAAAAGGTATATGATAATGTACTGGCATTGTGAACACTCAGGGAGGATAACCAGTGAAACCCTTGTATACTAGAGGTTAGCTTTTGTGAGGGAGGGAGAATGTGAGGTGCTCATTCTGAAGATGAAATCAGGATTTCTGTTTCACACCCAAAGCGTGGACCACAGAACACCAGTTCTGTGCTTTTTAGATTTACAGTGACCAGTTGCATTTTTCCAAAAAGTATGTTCGTGGAAATAACTTTCAGTGATTATATGTATTTTTCCAAAAAGTATGTTCGTGAAATAACTTTCAGGCCCAGTTTCCACTTGCAGCTGTGGGACCATCAACAACTCACATCTCTCTGGGCCTTCTTCTTCCCAGTAAATTGAGGGAGTCGTATACAATACTTCCAGCTTTTAAAGTTTAGGTCCTTTTTAAAATGTCAGCTAATGTTACCTCCTTGAGAATACAGTACCCAGTAAAAGTCAAATGTGTCTTCATACTCCTGAGGAAGGAGTATAAGAAATTTCTGTAGCCACACCTTTCTTAACTGTGTATTCAGAGGGAATAATTACATACAACAGTCTCATTCAAACAAATGATTGAGTTTTATACTCAAGATGGAAGGATCCGCCAAACAGCTGTGAGAGAGGTTCTAAGATGGAAAATATACTTAAAGAACAACAGTTGAAAACCCTGGGACTGAGTTGTGCATGATGGTATATGCTTGTAATCATAGCTACATGGGAGGCAGAGATGAGAGGTTCATGGTTTGAGGTCAGCCTGGTCAGGAAACACCATTTCAAAAAATAATTCAGATTTGGTGTTGCACATATGTAATCTCGCCTACACAGGAGGCAGAGGTAGGAGTATTGTGGTTCTGAGGCCAGTCCAGGCAAAAGCATGAGACCCTATCTAAAAAACAACAAAAGAAAAACCACCCACTACAGCAAAAAGGACTGAGGGGTGAGGTTCAAGTGGTAGCAAACACAAGGCCCTGAGTATCACCCCAGTATAAAGATAAAAAGAAAGAACCTGTGACTAATATTTAATTCCAGTGTACGCCTCATAGAATTCTCAAACAAACTATATTGTCTTAAAAATAGAAAGTCATAAAAATAGAGTCTTATTTTCATTCTTTGAGACCTTCCTGCCAAATTTGTAAGTCTCAATATTACATTTGTTTGCTTGGTAACTTCTGCCTTTTTAACTTAGATTGTTTCCCTGCTTTTCTCCAGAAAGTGAATCAGAAGTATGTAACCAACAAGGAGGAGTTTTCCACCCTCCAGAAGATAGTGCTGCATGAGGTGGAGGCAGGTGTGGCTCAGGTTAGGAACTCAGCTACAGAAGCCCTCTTGTGGCTAAAGAGGTGAGGCAGGCTGGTGGGGCTGCAGCTAAAAGCCAGTTCAATTGAAATGTTACCAGCAAAAAAGCATTACTGGGCAAGGAAAGTGCTTCTGAATGAAGGGTTTAACCAAATTGTGTAGTCTTTTCTAGAAGGAATAGAACACCAACTGTGTTCATCCCTCTTGATGTTGATATTGTTACTGTGTGAGATGGGGATCATAGGTGCAGGAAAGACGAGGTGTGGTTTCTCCCGTCAGTGAAAGCCTCCTAGAGGGCTTGTCAAAAACACTGGACTTAGAACCAGAGTTTCTGTTCCTAAGCCTGAAGTGGGGCCCCAGAATTTACATATCTCGTACATTCCCAAGTGATGTTGAAGCCACCAGTCCTGGGACCACAGTTTGAAAAACACTACTTTTGGTATATCATATGGGGTGAGGGAATGGTTCAAAGCATAAAAGGGAAATGACCAGGAAGAAACTCAAAAAAACCTCCTTATGATCTGACCTGCAGTGCCTAAGGTATTACTGAAATAGAAGCAGATGTCTGCCATTTCTTTATACTTGATCAGTATAAGTGAAATTTGAAAATAATACTTCTTTTTTTGATTTAGAGGTCTCAAATTTTTAAAAGGATTTTTGACAGAAGTGAAAAATGGGGAAAAGGATATCCAGACAGCCCTGAGTAAGTGTTCTTTGAATTTTGATAGATTGATTGAATAGGATTTGGAATGGAGACCCCTGACAGAGAAGATGGCTATGGGGAAAACTTTTGCTTTTCAGGGTTTGATTTTATTTCCTTTCTTCTTATTTCATTATTATCCACTGTTTGCTTCTTATATGCTTTGTTTAAAAAAGATCCAGGAGATCTAACTTATTAAGATGTACTTAGTGTATCTTAAAGAAGCACTGAATTGACTGAATTAAGATCCTATAATCGTCATAGGAAGACCTAATACTTATTATGAGGTTAGATTTCCTAAATTAATCTTCACATGCAGTACAGTCCTCAAGCATCAGTATACAAAGGGAAGCTAATTTTGGAGACCATAAATGGAGGTAGAGGTGGGAATCCTGTGGATTTGCTTTGGAGTGAGTTTAGGAGTTGGTCATCACCCTGTACTCCTCAAGTATTCTATGCATGCATTTGTAGTGGTAGAGCTGAGATTACCAGGAAGGTCTTGGTCAAAAGAGACCATCCTGTATCTCCGGCATCTTAATGCAGTGACTACATCACTGTAGGTGCTTAGTAATCATTGGGCAGGTGGGTGGATGGATGGATGCATCTATCAGACCAGTTTTGGAAAATATTAAGACTTGGAAGCATCTTTGCAGTGTTCCTAACAGACTGGCTGAATTCTTGGCTTATAGGAAATTCTTCCAGCATAGGTTTTGAGATGGGGGGAGGTGAAAAGCATCTTATTTTGAAGTCCGATATTGTAGAGATACACTTTGTCAAGTGCTAAGTAGCTATGATTATAAACAATGAAATGAATTAATTAGATGTTTCTGGTGGGAAGGAGGATTCTTTGGAATTTTTTCTGTTCACAGAAGGGTTCTGTCTCCTTCTGTTAGTCCTCCTTCTGGGCCATGAGTCCTAGGGATTCTGTTCCCATATGATTTCCCAGTCCTCTCTGCCTAGAAATTGCTAATATGCCATAGAATGATCCATGCTGACATTTATGTAACATTTTGCTAAGAATTTAGACAATTTAATCCTCACAATCCATTTTTACATAGTAGGGGACTGAAATTATGAAAGATGAAAATGGGGTCACTTTGGGACCCTTCCCTCAAAGGTCCTCATTGCTCCCACAAAAAGTCTCATCCCCAGGCCACCTGTATTTGAGTTCCTCATTTATTCCTAAATTTCCAGGATAGCCTTAGCTGTAGTCTGCCCTGTGTGACCTGACTTTTAGTACTAAAAGTATATTCACTGTCTATACACGTGCCCCGTAACCAATATCTGTACAACTCTGTGTCATGTGGAGTGATTAGGATCATAGGCTCCTCAAGCAGCTCCCTAGGTTCCACCACTGACTAGTGTTGTGCCCTGAGGCAAGTTACTTAACCTTTCTGTGCCTCAGTTTCCTTGTTTATAATGTGGGACTGTGGTACTACTTCCCTAGTAAGGTTGTTGTAAAAATTAAGTGAATTCCTACAGGTGAAAAAATTGAAAAAGTATTACGTGCATCAAAAGTACTCGGTAGAGGTTAGCTTCTGTTACTGCTTGCACTTTTGGATCATCCTCACAGTTGTGATCATCATCACATGTGAGGCTGACCTGTCAGATATGTTCCAAACAGTGGGTTTGGGTGCCAGGGCAGAAGTGCGTTTTAGGCCAGCTTCTTCCTGTGGAAATGTCTTGCTGAAGGCTGACTTCTCCATCTGTAGGAAGCGCAGATTTGGAATTCAGTGCTGTGTGCCTGGTGGACTGCACAGTCCTCCTGCTACTCTTGCTGTGGTAGAGCTGCTGGGAGGAGGAAGAGGGCAGTGTTAAGGGCATGGCGCCCAGGCCTAAGCTGGGGTGAAGCAGAACCGGTTGCTCACCAACTAGTTAAAAGAAGGGCTTTGACGCTGGAGGTGGAGAGGAATTGAGGATATACTCTCCCAGCCCTGCTCCCACCTGAATTCTGTGCTGCTTTCTTCTGTGATTTGGAGATAAAGCCCAAGAGATGTTGGCTCTGAAGACAGAGGAGACATTGAAGGGTAAATGCTGCTTTGTGACTGAAATATCATAAGCAATCTCAGCTCTTCTTCCCTCCCCTCCAACACTGTTTTCAAAGGAAAGGAAAAAGGCTGTGAATCTGACATTTTCATCAGGCTCATTTCAGAGGTTTTGATGAAAATCATATCTTTGAGTGTTGTAATCTCTTAATTTCCTGTTGTTAGGTGTGAGGAAATAAAGTGCCCTAATCAATCCTCCCTCCCTCCCTTTCAAACAGATGCAGCAAACTCTTGCAAACAAATGATTTTATGAGAACTGTTTACACAACAGCTATCCAGACCCTGCAGACTCCTTAATGCACATTCTTCTGAGATAATGGCTTTTCTTTTCTCATTTTAAAGTCACTGCCTTTCTAAGTGGAACTGATATCTTGTCTGAAATGAGGGAGGGCCTGTATATAAGTAAAAGAGAAGGCTTATGCAATTTATATGCCATATATTGGCAAAATTAGTTTGCTTTTCAAAATTCTAAAACTGAATTTGATTTGCCTTGATAACAGCTACTGGTCAGGAGTACCCAGTATGACTGTTATTCTAAGTTCTTGGTTTTTTGTTTGTTTATTTGTTTTATGTTTTTGGCAGTGCTGGGAATCAAACCAAGGACCTCACACATACTAGGAAAGTGCTGTACCATTAAGCTACACCCCTAACCATATACTTAAGTTCATACAAAAGACCAAGAAATTATGTACTAAGTTCTTTATAAATTCTTCATTAAGTCTTCCAAGTAACTCCCCCTTTTTCATGAATAAACCTTCCTTGGGTCTCACAATCTAAATCTTTAGCTGGTCCAAAGACAGTAACATCTTCACCACCTGAAATCTTAACTAGAAATACAGACCATAAGAACCCAGCCCAGACCTGCTGAATCAGAAACTCCAAGGTGGAGCCTGGCCGTCTGTGTTTTAACTAGACACTGAGGGTAATTCTAATCCATGTGAAATTTGAGAACCACTGATGTAGACCTGGGCCACTGAAGCTCACTTACTCCTTGAATACCTCTTGATTGTTTGGACATTCCTGCATCTGAGGAATTGTTAATAAACAGAACTAACAGTGTTGAAATTACATCAGTCAGTTTTGCCTCCTTTTTTTTTTTTAATCATAATTAGCTTTCTAATAAAACACTGCTTAAGAAAAGGTTTTAATATAAATGCTCATGAAACTTGTCTAATTTTGGTGGCCTTGGAGGTGGGAGATAATATGTAAAAATTCTGAATACATGGTGGAATCCTTGGTGTCTGTTACCTTCCTGGAAAGCGAATCTGTACTGTATCGATGCCATCACTTAGATTCCCCATGATGATGATCACAAAGGAATGTTTGGGTTGGTCTCATGCCAGTAGGGGGCTCTGTACCCTTAGTATCCTGTGACATTCACTAGAGGTCATTTTAAAGAAGGAGTTGATTCCACAGGCAGGTGTGTTTAATGGTCTGCCATAGGACTGAGCCCCTCCATTTGCAAGTGCCACATAAAAAAGAGGTTTTGGAAAGCAGCCTTGTAAGTGGAAGGAAGAAAAGTTGCTCTGGCATTTCATGCGCCATTGTACTAAATGTTATATGCTCTGCACTATTCATTCAGCCGGAGAGCATATTGCCATGTCTCTCTCCTCAGAATGAGTCCATAAATGTCAAGTAAAAATTAACCCAACCAAGATCTCTGGCACAGAACAGGAACATTTTTAAAGTTGTTCAGTCATGCATTTACTGTGAAAGGCTTTCACAGAGGAGAACTAGATAAAAGAAAGAACTTATAAGCAGATATTTAGCATCAAATTATAACTTGACTATTCCAAAAACACTGTGGAACATGAGTCGATCCGTGCCCTCTCCAGAACCACTCATTGTATGTGCCTCCTGTCAGGATTGGCTTACTGCACCAGTGTTGGTCGTGACAGTATCTAAAATTAATATAGGGCATCTCTGAGCACTCGTTTCATGGCTGTCCATTGGTTATTAAGTTGATGTTTCTCCATATGTCTCATTTTGCTTGAAGCTTAGTCACTATAAAGAACTCAGAGGTATTTTCTTACTAGGTTTTTAAAAATATTTAAGCATTGCAGACATTTAACAAGTACCTACCATTTGAGCCAATGTCTAATAGTTTAATACAGTTAAGTGCTTATGTTCCATCCCTCGGTCCCATTACTCCCTTTGTTTTCCAGAGAAGATCATCATCCTAAATTTGCTATTTGTCATCATGCTATGCATATTTTTATGCTTTTACTATATACTTACGCATCCACAAACAGTATCTAGTGTCAGACTGCATGTTTAAGCTCATATACATGGTGTCATGTTGTATACATTCTTCCTTTTTCACTCAGCTTTTTTCAAATTTATTCACTCTTGGTGCTTATAGTCCTAACTCATTCATTTTCCTTGCTCTGTCACCTTCTGTTGTATGAATGCACCACAATTTTTAAAAATATACTGCTGATGGACACCTGGGTTGATACCAGATTTTCACTATTACTAACAATGCCTTAAGGTACATGTTCTTTTTATGTATGTTCTTTGTCATATAGAAAATTATAATATCTGAACAGCATACCAGGGGAAAAGGAGGAGTCTGCTCATTGCTATAAGTGTCTGACCCAAGGTATCTGGCCGTCTGCAGACTTATCATTCATTGAACTTCACTGGCTGAGAAACTGTGCTGCCAGAACAGTGGTGCTCAAGCTCTGACTTGAATCAATATCTCCTGAAAGGCTCCTTAAAATACAGGTTGCTCCATAGATCAGGAGTTGGCATCCGAGAATGCAATTGTAACAAGTACCCAGCAGGTGCTGAGGCTGCTGGTCTAGGGACCACACTCTTGAGAGCTGCTGCTCTAGTTTATGATAGAATTGAAATGGTTGAAACATGTTACTGGATATTGCCATATTAGTCTCCAAAGTCTGTAAGTATCAACAGAGTAGTGAGAGTGCCCATATTCTTGGTAACACTTAGCATTGTCAGTGTTACACTGAGAATTGTCAGTGTTTAACTTATGTCTGGTAATTGTAGAATGATAGACTGTTGCCAGAGTTTGTGGTCTTGGATTACCAGTAAGCTGAGCAGCCTTTCTGATCTTCATTGAGGAGGATTTCCTCCTCAGCAAATTGCCTCTTTGTGAACTTTGACCATTTTTCTATTAGGTTTGATTTTCCATATTATTTCATGGAAATTTTTTACGATTTCTGGATGTTAAGCTTTTTTTCAGTAATGAATTATAACTATCTTCTGTCAGTCTGTGACATGCCTTTTCTCTTCATTTGTGATCTATGTGGTACACAAAGATATTCTCTTATACTTCACTCTCAAAGTTGTACAGGTTTTCTTTTTCATATCCATATCTTTAATCTTCTTGGAATTAGTTTTGAGACTGTAAGGTAGAGAATTACTTTTATCACTCCCAATCAGAAATCTATTTATCTTGGTAGCATTGCTGGATCACCCACTTGTATATTATATCAGCTCTGACATCATGTGGACGTCTTCTATACTCCATATTCTGGCCCACTGTTGTCTGTGCATCGTTGTGCTTTGTAAGAAGGTTAGCATTCTTACAGGGTGATGGTCTGCACTATTACATGGATTTCTCACACTAGAGGTCACAGGACTTCCGGATAGATTCATTCCCCAGTGCCTACCTATTCCCACCAGCCCCCTGCCAAACTCAACTGCCTGTTTTTGGACCTCTCCTAGTTCCTGATTCTTGCCTAAGGATGGTCTAGTTTAGCGTATTTGCAGAACTGAGATGATTGCTATTTCTTGAGGTCAGTGAGTCTCCTTTCCTGCCTTTGGTTTTCTACTTCCCAGGCTCTCTCCTAAGACTTAAATTTCTATTTCTCCCTTGTTTTCCCTACAATCCGAAGTAACTTTATTAGTTATAGGTTATAATAGAAAAGCACTCTGCTATGTATAATTCTTGAGCAGTATAATTGTCCACCAAGTGCAAGGAAAGGTTGCTCTTACTAAATACCTCATAGGCAGTTTCTGAGTTTACCAGTAAAGAATTCAGATCTGTGCTATTTCCATAATCAGTTCTTTCAGTTTATAGCTGGGGAAAACATATTTTTTCACTTTCATTGTTTTCTTTCACAAAGAACTAACCTTTCTTTTGGGGGCAGAATGGTTTGACATGACACAACTGCCCCAAGTTCTCACTGTTTTTAGCTTTGTGATCTTGGACAAGTCACTGGTTCTCAGGGTTTTTCCTTTCTTCATTGTAAAAGGAGGAGAGCTAGGCAAGGTAATTCTCAAGGCTTCCTACTTAGAAATTTAGACTCAGTCTCTAGGGAACTGACACATTTCAAACAATTGAGAGAAAGGTATCATTTATGTCTTTCAGAGGCCAAAAATACTCTGATTATGGAACATGCATTATGATAATGAGCGTTAGGACAGTGAAGATTAATGTATTTTATTATCTAATCTTCTCTAGGTAACAAAAATAGGTCAGGCTTAGACTTCATCTTATTTTAATGCAGCTTCACATGGCGGGCTTATTTGTAGTCCTGGAAGTCAGCTGTGGACTTTTTGCATTGTTTTTAATGAGTTTAGGTCATTTGTGATTTTAAATTTCATCATTTGTCTTCCTTGGCCTCAGTCAGGACTCAGCCCAGGTTCTGTGACTCTCTCCTCTCCCATTAGGCCATCTGCCTCATGTGTTAGGGGTAGAACTCTCCTCTGTCAAGGTGCAGCTGTTTGCTCTGGCCCAGCTGAGTGGGAGGACACAGATGGTACTGCTGTGCACCTTCCCTTGTCCTTGCCCACACTGTGTGGACAGCTGATTGTCCATAGACTCCCCTTGCCTACCATTTTTCTTCCTGCCCTTTGTGGGGAGGGGGAATAGAAAAAGGTTTCCAGGATTTTTTGAATAGTTGATTGTAAGGCAAAGTGTAAGGAAGGGGTAAAGTTCTGAGGTTGGTGTAGCATTAAATCCAGAGCCCTTTTTCACAGGCATTTGTCCATCCAGTTGGCTTTGTAGCTGAAGGCCCAGAGACGGGGACAGCAATATCAGCTACATACTATAAAGAAGTGAGTCTCATCTTTTTCTTCCCTGCCACAGCTCCAAATCAGAGTAATAATTACTTTGTTAACAGAAGAAAATAGTACTCTCTGTATAGGGAAATTTTTTTCTTTAAAAGGAAAATATCTCCCCAGAATGCCCACTGTGGTTAAGTTTAAGAGAAGTGATTATTGATTTCTTTAGCTCCCTCTTTTTAAAGTATTTTCTACAATGAACATGCATTACTTATAAAATTAGAAAAAAAAAAGACAATAAGTATTTCAAAACTGCCACTATGCCTCAAGTAGTTCAAAATGCTTGAATTGGTAGCTAAACTTCCTCACAAGTTGGCCCCAATGAACTGTTACCAACACCCAGCATGGCACACCCTGTCTCACTTCAGTGGTGCTGCATCTGTCTGCAGCCTTCTCTCAATCCTCCCAGCTTTCAAAACTCCTGAGAATCCTCTGTCCCCACACCCCAGGCTGGATCAGGCTGTGCTCCTGTAGTACTGTGTACAATCCCTTCATAGAATTAGCAGTCTACATAAAACTGAGCTGTCGAATAACAGCTCCTTACAAATCTATGAGCTTCTTGAGGGCAGGGGATTAACAGAGTTGAAACAGCTGAGGGTCCACTTCCTTTCATAGTGTATAGACTGAAGTAGATTCACTTTTTTTTTTTTTTTTTTTGGTGGTACTTTGGTTTGAACTCAGGGCCTCGTGCTTGCTAGGCAGGCATTCTACCACTTGAGCCACTCCAACCCACTAAATTCTTATTAAATGGAGCAGCTGTTCATTGTAGATGTCCTTAGCAGATTCTGCTACCTTACTCAGTAACGTTCTTAGGCTGTTTTTATGGCCTTATATGCACTCTTCTCAGCTTAGATGGCTCCTCAGATGGTTAAGATAGTTAGAAATGTGGCTGTCTTTCTGGTTTTCCTCAGTGGCTGTGTCTGGTATTTTCTGTCTGTACTCAACACTTGTGGGTCAGCAGTGCTCTTCTCAGGATGTCTTCACTAAGGCGCTGGGTATCATATAAACATTTCCCTGATACCGTTTATCCCTTTAAAAAACGTCAGCTAGGTTTGTGGCTTACATTGAAGGTGCATGACTTTGAGCATGCCTTGGTCTATTCTGGCTGTTTTCACAAAGAAAAAATTTAATCTTGGGTCCTCTTGGATGTTTCTAAGAGTCTTCTCCATACTTGAATTTATCACTTCTGCTAGAGCTTTACCTCCCTGGAGGCTGGCATTTCAACCTGTTAGTATACTTTAGACAACCAGGAAAATCTGTTCTTACATTTCACATGTACCGTCTTTTATGTAAAATGTTGCAGCATATTGAATAGATTCTGTCATATAAAATATAACTTTTATGCAAATTCAAATTACGTAAAATTGAAATAGTAGTTTATACTAGAAGTATTAATAAACTATAAACAGTGAACTGTGTAAGCTGCAACCACATTGCAGTTCCATTTTTGTCAATAAGATACAAATATCCAGCTTCCTTTGTGTCCTGTGAACTGCATTGCTTTTCACTCCAGAGGAACTTGTACTTGTGGGTATCATAGCTGTTTTGCTGTTATTTTAACATCTGCTTTGGTCAAAATTGAAAATAATTTAGCCTGTTACAATGTCACCTATGCATTCATTAAATGGTGGTAGTATTTATGCTTACGCTGAGACTAGAACATGAGCGTCAGTACATTTGGAATAGAGAATTTTGGTATGGTCAGGTAAAACATAAAGATGAAGATGCCCCAACAGTCCCCAGTAACTCAGGAACTTGTGCTCCATAAACTACTGGAGATGTAATCAGAAGTCAGAAGGAGCGTTAAAGTCAAAATGCACAATGGGGATGTAGATCTTTGTCTCCTGAGAATGCGTTCATTCCTGTGGGGAAATCAGTTTTGAATTGTGCATATACTGAATTAGTCAAAATCTTCAGACATCTTATTCTTGGTATTTTTTAAAAATTAAAATTAATATATACCTGTTTTAAAATCTTACTTTAAAACACATTTGGACAAAAATAATAGGTTGTCTTAAAGCATAAAATATGAATTATTAATAAGCCTCACCCATTACTTTGTAACTTCAAGCCATTTTTTCCGTAACATTTTTGGGGTTTTTTTTGGCTTTTGGGTTTTTTTCTTTTTTTTGAGACAGGGTCTCACTATGTTGCCCATGCTCATCTCAAACTCATGATCCTCTCACCTCAGCCTACTGAGTAGCTGGGACTACAGCTATGCCCTATACCACTTGGCTTTTTGATAATATTTTAAAAGATTTCTAGCTTGTACACCCAGGGACATAGGACTTTGAGGACAAACATTTGGCATCCCAAAATAGAATGCTGGAATGAGAAAGAACTATAGAGATCATTTTACAAAAGGGGAAACATAGCTAGAAGAGGGCAGCTAAGGGCTTGGGTCAGGGTCATACTACATTTCAAAGAATTGCATTTTAATTATTTTAATAGTACATTTCTAATTGTATTTAGTCATAATTCTCATTGTCCTTTCCTCCATATTTCTTCACATGTATGAACTTTTCCCACTATGATAATAAACTGGACTTATAGGATAAAAGTGGAAGTATCTATTTTTCTTTGAAAAAAAAAATCCTTGTGAATTTAAGGGATACAAAGTCTTGTAATTAGATTTTTTTCATAAGTTCCTAATACTAATAGGACCATGCTACAGCATATATTAAAAAGTACTTTGTACAAATGTATATAACTTGTGATTAATCATTCCTCATGGAGTCTTTCTCTTTTCAAGATAATGCATATGGTAAGACACTACGGCAACACCACGGCTGGGTAGTTCGAGGGGTTTTTGCGGTAAGTTATCCCTCTGCTCCCTAATGTTCAGATGTTCAGAAGCAAGGTGTTGTGTTTTGTATATAAGGTGTTGGTATTTCTGTTTGCTTTATTTTTGAAGATAGGAAGAAAATGTTGCTTATTTTATTATTTATGTTTACAGGCATTTGGAGTGTGGAAAGGTCAGCAATAAAAAAAGTCTAGAATAGCAAAGACTATTTAAGAAATATGAGTATGTTTTCCTCAATCCAGTTCCAGTGACCTTGTAGAGATTTGCCTCCCAAGCTGTTGCCTTTCTGATAGGGTGGTAAAAAATACATCAGTGTGAGAGAGGAAGACAGGAAGCAAAGATCGCAAATACCATTGAGAGGAAATGATGCATTCATATGATGAATTCAAGCTAACAGCTCCCTCTGCTGTCCATTGCATTCAGTCTGTTCATTCTTGGGTCTTAGTTAACTGTTTTCCCCACTTGAGTTTTATCCTTGAAGTAACTATTTTCAGGATGCCAGCAGTTAGGGCTAGAAATCTCTTCCTACAGTTGTCTTCATTGTGAAGATGTTTGTATCCATGTGTTTTGCTCCTGTTACCCACCATCTCTTTCTTCCAGCATGTTAAACTAGGAAGAATACAAAGCTGGGAGTCATAGTCCCTTAGACAAATCACTTAGCCTGCTTTATGATATAGCAGGAGTACAGGGCTTCTTATTTTGGCCATAATGCTTGTTCTTCCCATGCAGGGAAAGGTCAATCCTAGTCAAGTGTAGCAGAGTTCATGTCCTTACCCTAGGAAATGTCACAGAATGTGAGTGTTCTTTGGAAAGCTGGTGGAATAAACTAGCCTTACAGATGATGTCTTTTACTAATTTAAAGGATACATCATTTGCCTAAGATAAGAACTGTTTTAAGCCATGATTTATTCTTCCCACAAGAATGTATAGTGTGTGGAAATGGCTAGCTCCATATCTCCCCATTCATTGGAATACACACCAGACCAATTGTAGCTACAAACCTACCTTTGCTGCATGTATAATAATCACATGCTACCTTATAGCTACTGGAAGTCTTTAGGTACCAGGCACTGTGCCTGGTCTTTCATGTTCATTATCTTTGTCAATCCTCAGAATTAACACCCACCATTTTACAAGTCTAGAATGGTTCATTCGAGTCCCAAAGTGTGCTATGACAGAGCACAGGTCTAAACCCAGGTCATTCTCCAAGGTCCCATCACACACTCTGCAGTGAAGACAGAATTAACTAAGAAACCTCTACTGAGCTATTAGGCAGTGGATGCTGGATGTGCTCATTGATCTCCCTGAGTAAATACTGTGGTTGCTTGTGTGCTCCTGACACCTAAATTCCCTTGGCCAGATGACTAAATGCATAAACATTGAGTTGCCTTGTTTACAAGAAACAAATGTGCTTTTTTTTTCAGTATCAAAGGCAAAGTTTAATTCTGAAATATTGGTGATCCAAGAGTTGTTACTTACAAGAAATTAGTTATACTAGAAAATTCTTCATAAGCATGAATCTCTAAAAGGACTTCTTTAAATATTTTCCCTAATTTTTAGTAATTCAGACTTACTGTAAAAAAAATTTTTTTGAAACAGAAGAATAGAAAGGGAAAGAATTAAAACTGCCCATATTTTCCTCTTTTTTTTTTTTGTAGTTATGGGGTTTGAACTCAGGGCCTACACCTTAGGCCACTCCACCAGCCCTTTTTTGTGATGGGTACATTTGAGATAGGGTCTCACAGACTGTTTTCTCAGACTGGCTTCTATCTGTGACCCTTCTGATCTCTGCCTCTCGAATAGCTAGGATTACAAACGTGAGCCACTGGTGCTGGGCCATATTTTCCATTTTTATGTTTACCTTCTTAGCTTTTTTTTTTATATCTGACTTACATTCTTTTAAATATTGATCTTTTAATTTATATAGTTACTTAGATAAATATATTTCTACTTACAGATGTTTATACTTGTATGTATACCTGCATATAGTATATGTGTATAATTATTTTTATTTTGTACACCTAACTTTGTATATCCATATTTTTTATGTTTAGATTAATATAATTTTGTATTCTTTCTCTCTACTTTATAGATTGTGTCATGACTTTGTTTTTTGCAATGCTAAAAGCATCAAACCCAGGGCCTCATGTGTTAGACAAACACTCTGCACACTGAGCTGTACCCCAAACTCCTACCATGACCATTTTTAAATACCATAAGAGACTGAGAAAAATAGCACTTTTAGTGACTTCTCTAGTTTGAAAGTATCATGGTTTACTTACACAGTCCTCTGATAGAAACATAAGCTACTTCTGAGTTTGTTTTTAGAAGTAACACAGAAATTTTGACTAAAATTTCTTATTTACTCAAAATAGGTTCCTAGAAGAATTGACTATGTCTGATACCAAGAACTGCAATATAGCTTACAGTTTTGAGTGTCTGTCATACACTGGTTGTTGTTTTAAGTACCTGACAGACATAAAGTTATTAATCTCGTAACCGTAAGACAGGTTCTCTTATTTGCCTTCCTTATAGCAAGAAAACCTGAGGCACAGAGAGGTGAGATAATATACCCATAGTTATAAAATAAGAATGTTCTGAAGGCTTTGGATATTGTTACCAATTTTTTAAGTTTCTAGTTTTAAGAAAATCGATAACATCAAGCATTTGGCAATAGCCTTATCAATGTAAGGGTTGAGTCTGTAGCTTGATTGACCCTCTCAGCTGCTCTAGTATTATTCCTTAAATCGTCCCTACTTTGAAATATTTATCGAGTTTTCTAACATACTAAATATAATTAGCACTGCCAAATTCATTCTAACGCATCTCATTTGCTCAAGGAAACATCTTTTCCACCAAGGAATTTGACTCATTTACCAGATAGTGAACTTTTATCTTCAAACAGTTACAGTCTTCTGAACTAATGCCGGCCTTTGTTCTGCCTCCAGCTTGGTCAGTAACTAGCCATCATTTGACCTTGCTGGTTCATTTGACCACGTTGGTTCCCTCTTTAGCCAGCCTAGACCGCTGAACTCTTATCTAGCACTGGTTAAATCTTCCATAGAAGTACCGTATTAGGTGCCATTGTGTGTTGCAAAGCACAAAGTGGTCCTAAGCCCTAGCATTACTAGCCATAATGATGTTCATCTGTAGGAAAGGGATGTAACCATTCCTCTTATAAATTATGACTAACTGGGATAATATATGTTAGCGCGTCATTGCATAAGCAAACAGCAAATTTTAGCTCCCTTTCATTTTAGGAAATATTCAAGGGTGTAAAGGAAACATCCATGTAGGGGTAAATAAGAGACACGTAAGGAAATGTATGTAGAGATGAGACACAAATAGAAGAGTGGGTGCTCTGGAAGGCTAGACATGTGGAAACAAAGACAGATGGCGATAGGCATACGGGTTGATTCTGAGCATTCAAGGGAGTAGTCTGGATCACACTGTGGATAAGAAGGAAACTTTTCTTAAATCTCTTAGCATTCCCTTACTTGGTAGAGTTATTCATCGTTAAGATGGCCCAATTGCATACTTGCTTCTAACCTCAAATATTAACTTGATTTGATGTTTGGACATAATTTTAGAGATCCTGTGAATGAGAAGGATATTCATATTTCTTCATCCTTGCTCTCCTCAACTTTTGTGTGGATGTGTGTATGTGTGCATATGTGTGTGCATGTATGTGCATAAGAGTAAGTGTGCAAAAGATAGTTGTAATGCAGATTCTCACAGGCAATTCTTTTGCAGTTAGCTCTAAGGGCAGCTCCATCCTATGAAGATTTTGTAGCTGCACTAACCATAAAAGAAGGTGACCACCAGAAAGAAGCATTCAGTATTGGGATGCAGAGGGACCTCAGCCTTTACCTTCCTGCCATGGAAAAGCAGCTGGCCATACTGGACACTTTGTACGAGGTCCACGGGCTGGAGTCTGACGAGGTGGTGTGACAGCTGCAGGACAGCGTCTCCTAACTTCAGGGAATAAAGTTTGCTAAAGTGTTGTGTTGCCCTAGTTAATTTCCAGCAACAGCTTCACCCCTTTTCAACCCCTTTCCTTGAAGGGATGGAGAGGAGGAGACAAAACCTAGTGCTTTTATGTATAATTTTAAAAACTACATATGTGTTTTGTGTGTTTAAAAATCAAGGTGCTATATATTTCAGTTGAACATGCCTACTGGAAACCAAATCATAGCATCACAGACTTGAACAGCAAGTAATAAGAGCAGATTTGACAAAGGAATTTGTTGATGTTGTGTTTTGTTTTAGTTTTTAAAAGTTTTGATGGGCACCCAAACCTAAACTGAAAACAAGCAAATTCTGTATCAAGAACTACTTTATACCAGTATTTAAACCATCTTAGACTGAACACTTGGAGGGACTGTAAGCCCCTATTTTTGAAGCAATTGCAATGTTAAGAGTTTGCTATTCCTAGACTTTCTTCAGTCGATTATCTTCTCTGTAGGTCTATTGGTGAGAAGAGCTGTGTAGTGAAGAGGTTTGGGCATTGGTGTGACCATGAGATTGTGGGAAAACATGGATAAGACTGCCATCCCTATTGACAAATGGGAGATCGTGGCTCGATGAGATGAGTGATGTGCTTTCACCTCACACTGGAGGACAGGATGGGAGAGGTGGGACAGGTCATTTGAGATGACACTTACCCTTCGTCATGTATTATCTCAACTGGACATTACAACAATGACATTGAAGGGGATTCTCATCCCACTTCAAAAGAAAGAATTAGAGGTAGGAGGGTCTGCTCACAATACTATAGTCAGAGTTCTCTCTCTCTCTCTCTCTCTCTCTCTCTGTCTCTCTCAGAGACAGGGTCTCACTATGTAGCCCAGGCTGGCCTTAAAGTTATCCTCTACCTCCTGAGTGCTAGGATTACAGGAGTGAAACAGCAGTCTCTTCTTCATGCAGTCTCTTAAGTAGGGTGATTTTCATGTCATCTGTGCCACTCTGCTGAAGTCACTGGAGTGTTTGTTCATAGAGCACATTCCCACAACTTACCTGAGGAACCCAAATCTGGGGTTAGGATTCTAGAATCTGCATTAGATAAACTTCTAGTGATTCTTATGTGCACTCAGTTATATTCTGGTTTTTAGAATTCCCAGTCTGCTGCAAGAATTGAATGATAAGTCCTTTTTTTTTTTTTTTCAAAGAGAAGGAGGCCATCACTTAAGTGAAAGTAGTTAATGGAGAGCGAGAAGTGGAACAAGTTTACTCAGGATGTTTAATTGAGCCAGCATCAGTTGTTTCAGCACCCGGTCCAAAGGCCTTGGCATAGCACTTAAGAGCTACAGCTCTGAATCTGCTGTCAGATCAATCTTGACCCAGGAGTGCAGAGCACACTAAATACAGCTTGCCTTTCAATCTCAAAAACTTTGGGGTGCTATCAAAGTTCATAGATGGGACTTAATACATAAAACAACCGGGTGTGGGCATTCTTCTATACAGTGTGAGACCCAAACTGTAGCCCTCATCTCTCAGTCAGTAGTAGGTCATACTGCCTAGAGTGTGTGTAGGACAGAAGCCACGAATGCCTTCCCCACTGGAGGCTTCTTCCTTCTGGTAACAGGAAGGGAAGTTCTGGCAGGAAGTAGCTCCCATGGTAGAAGTCAAGGTCCCTTCGGTGGCGCGGGAGTGTGTTGTGGCTCTGGATAATGCCGTTTCTGGCAGGAGAACCTCCCCTTAGCACAGAGCTTCATGGTGGGGGGTGTTGCTGATTTTGTCTTTTTTCTTTCTTTAAACAAATGGGCATTTATTTAGCTCAAGTTAATGAAGCAAGTAGAGTTGGGCACACATCTATAGTCCTTGTCTTAGTCCCAGGCTAAGGCAAGAGGAGTGTTTACGCTCAGGAGTTCGAGGCTGAGCAGTATAGCAAGACTCTGCCTCAAAGAAAGTTAAAAAGAAAAAAAAAAAACAGATTTGTTGCTCACATAAGAACTTCTGAAAAGTGCTTATTCTTAGAAAAGCAATGGTACATGCTTTAGGGCTAAAGAGAAGGGCTAAAGTCATGTTGGTTATCTGTTGGCAGTTGCTCAGGTGTGCATTTTCCTCCCACTCCCATGAGAACTTCATTTGGATTTTTCTCTGGCTGGTGTGAATATGAGGGTGGGGCTATGCATCCTACAAGGGCAAAAGAGAAGACAGCCAATCTTTGCTTTTCTTCTGAGTGAGGATGCCTTAGGCACTGTGCTGTCCGTAAAGGGAAGCAAGGCTAGGCTCGTGCTCCCTGCCATCTCAGGTGCCTTTTGTGGTCTCCTGGAGAGGAGGCGGTTGCTCTGAAAACACCCCAGCTTTGCTGCTGAGGCTCTGAACACACACAAAAGGAAAGCTGCTGCGTATGGCCAGTTCACCTTTTTAGGTACTGCCTAGGTATTTACCACTCAGCTTTTGGTAAAATAGGAGTTTAGTGTTGTCTAGGATCACTGGGAACCTGGATCAGACAGAATAGCTTAGATAACTTGAATACATTTCACTTTCCAATCACCTTTTTTTCCAGCTCTATAAAAAAGGGTAATGTGAGTTTTGAGTGGGGGGGGGGGTTGTTGTGTTTTGATAGGTATTCCTCATGAAGCATACTAAGTTTACCTAAGATGTATAAAACAAAGAGTCCTTAAATAAAAATAACTAGAAATTGAACTTAATACTAAATAAAAATTGTAATTTGTGCCCATTTGCAATTACTTTCTAAGAAAGAGGAAATGAGAGAAGATGCTTAAAGCTTCCTCCTAAAGCCCCTAGGAATTCTGGGACACTTAAGCTTTTTTCACCCTCGTAAGAGATGACTAATGTTTGCTGACATCACCTTGGGGGCCGGCAGAGTGACTCAAGTGGTAAAGCGCCTGCCTAGCAAGCATGAGACACTGAATTCGTACCCCAGTACCACAAAAAAAAAAAGAATAGTCACCTTGCCTTCATCGTTCAAAACATTTTTAGAATTCCTTTTCTAGTATAACCTTTAGAGAAAACCTGAAGAAAAAGAAAATGTGTCTTCCTAGGTATTAGGAGAAGTGAATGAGTAGCACTGGTTGACCCCTTACAAGTCACTTTCCCACACATGATTTCAAATTTGCATGTGTGCTTGTGTGCACGCACACACACAGAAGCTAGGTTCTACACTCTACATTGGCTGGGATCAGTGTGTGTTTGGTGAACTGACAAAGGTTTTTAATGATGGCAAGTCTTTTATTCTTTGAAAACAAATCTGATTGTAGCTAACCCTGGTGAAAAATGTTCAATTGGAAGGATACTTTTTGGGGTGGAAACCAAATTATAACTTTGAGGAGGAGGTGATTCTTGAGGTCTCAGTCCAGTTCAGGAGGGAGTTTCAGAAGGGTGCTGAGTGTTGAGCTGATGGGCCTCAGGGAATTAATCTTGAAGTGCTGTATGTATTAGGAAGTATGAGTAGTGGCTTGAGGCACCTTCTCATTATTATGTCTGTGTCATTCTGAACATAAAAGCTGCCCCTAATTTCATATGCCATGACTGGGGACATCTGAGCTCTGCAGCTCAGACTTGTGGCTTTACTCTTTGCTACTGAAAGTTGCCAGTAGTGCCTGCATCAGTATACCATATCTGTCCCCCTTCACCTAGCTTTTAGCCTAGGTGAAGCATCTGGCACCAACCTAGCCAGACTGCAGGAGCTTCTTGCAGAAACCATGTTCCCATGTGTAGCCGTAGGACAGGTGAATACCAGTAAGTGTGGCACTTAGAGAGGTGACCTGGGATTAGGTGAGTGCCACTAGGAAAGTTTTTGCTCTGCTTTTGATAATTACTTCCATATACAATCCAAAAGGTGACTTTATATCTTCAGAGTAGTGTTTTGATTAAGAAACTATGTAGTAGGGACCAGTAAATAAAGTATACTTTATTAGACTTGAAGTAAGTTAAATAGCCAAAGTAAGAAGTTTTTCTATAGGAAAAATAGTCTGGTTGTGAACATCACATATATGAGGAAATATCAGATAAAGCAATAGAGTCAGAGTCATGAGTCATAGAAGGTGATGTAAGGCATTTTCAAACTGTAAAATAGAAAACTGTGTGTAAGTATTTCCTACTAAACTCTACTGTGTCCTACAGGAACTTGGTTACATAATGGTACATTTCTGAATCATTGATTAAAGCCAGTTGCATCTGATTTTAGTCATAGATTTTACAATGGTTCAGCTCCCCCACCCTCATGTTTCTTTCTTAACTACCAAGTTTTTTTTAATTTAAAAGTTTTTAGATGTAGAATTTTTAAGTAAGTAAAATATATGTTAAGCCACTGTTCCATTAGGTGAACTAATGTATTTAGTCTTGGAGGCCCTTTCTTGAGATACTTTGTGAAATTGTCCAGTCTGTATGCACACATTGGTGTACGGCAACCTCTCCCTGTGAAGTGTGTATAGAGTGCTTTATTTAGAAATATCTTCCACTTCTGTATGACCCTTTGTAACCTGCAGTTGATTACTCAGGGGTTTCATAGTAATGGCATAAGAAGGTATTCACTCGATGTATAATGGTATTCTAACACTGTTTACCTATTACAAGGTCATTAGAGGTCTTTTCAACAACTCTATAAGCTTACTTTTCACTTAGACCTTCCCTGTAAGTGTAGCCAGTCCCCATTCTGTCTAGCCAGTCAGTCCCGTGGTCAGGGACATTTGCATGATTTTTTGTTGCACTGCTGCATTAGGGCACTCCAGGGCATGTTTAAATGATCATGGTGGTGCCTCTCTGGTACAATTGATGCATGCATCGACCTCTCCCCTCCACTGTTTTTATATACCCTTTAATTAAAAGGAAAAACATACACTACTCTGTAATGCAAAAGTTTCCAGAATTCTTAGGAATTTTTATTCCTTATGAATCACTTTCTTTCCAAGTGAAAAATGTTTTCAGCTGAGCTGTGTGAGAACATAACGATATCCTGCTTGTTTTAAATGTCTCATACCATTTAAAGTGGTCAGTGTTCCCTCCCTGTACCTTCCACACAAACCTCCTGGGGTG